GTGATTAACAAGATAAATGCTGCAAAGAAGAAGCATCACCATCGCACGGGGTCAGGTGGCTACCTCAAAGCCCGACCGTTGTGGGACAAGGCTGAGCAGGACCTGATTGCTAAAGGGGTCGAACCAGAGACATTGCACTGGCCAGACCATTGTAGGACTTGGTTCTTCGGGGCTGGTGGAACATTGGACCCTGAAACAGGAAAGTGCTGCTGGACGGACGAGCAACTTGCAACACCCATGACGAAGCTTCGGAAAGCAATCAATGAAGTGCGGGAAGGGAAGTTCGTTCCCGACAGAGAGAACGACGAGCTCACAAGGGTCCTCGGGAATCCCGAGCACCCTAGACGAACACGAGGCACGCCAGGCTCCGTTGTGTGGAAGGTCGGGTTTCTTGACGCAGGCGGTTACAAAACCCAAGAGAGGAGGAGGAAAGTGGAGCAGAGTGAACTGCAGGAGCTTAAGGCAAGGGTACAAAAGTTAGAGGAACGACAAGATGTTGAGAACCAGCAGCTGCGAGATCCTGCCCAAGAAGCTACCCCAGAAGCTACCCCACCATCTCAGCAGAGAAGCAGCGTGGCTTCCACCGAGCTCGTTCAACAACCTGACTTGACGGGTCCTAGCTACCCCGTGGATTTTATCACGGATTCACACCAGTGCCACCTTATGACGCAATGGCTTCAGCTCAAAGTCAAGGCGGCTGTCGGCTTTGTGTTCCCTCCTTCACCTGGAGCAACTTTTCACTGTCGTCCGATTCCACAAGGCTATGCTATTGTGATGGTAGACGAAATAACGGAAGGATTTAAGGAGCTCCAACTTGACCACCCTACAGGTGATGGGGAGACTCAGCTGGGTCTTGCTATGCATACTCCGTGTCTATGGCGGAAGGAGCACATCAAGCTTCTGAACTTCACGGCTCCTGCTAGTCAGCTGGGCGTTCCGCCTCCTCCGCCTCCTCCTCCTCCTCTGGCGAGTAATCCGGACACTCCGCCTCCTACTCCGGCGCGTGAGGGTGGCAGTACTCCGCCTGCTCCGGCGCGTCCGAGCAGCCCGCCTCCTCCTTCGTAGCCTCGTAAGCGACGGCGGAACACAGACACCACCGCTCCGGCTGCTCTGGCACGTTGTAGCAGTCCGCCTCCGGCTGCTCCGCCTCTTCAGCAACGAAAGAAGACATATGCAGCCCCTCCGACAGCTCCGACGTCTAGCAGTACAGCCAGAGGCGGGAGGCAATACAGATTCAGTCCATCGTCTCTCAAGCCTACCATACGAGAGGAGAGATGAGGAAAACCAGAAGATCTGTGAAGGCCAAGTGACGGACTTCTTTGAATCGGTAAAAGCTAAGAAACATCCACCTCCGGAGGAGAAGATAGATCCGGTGAAAGCAAAGCACACATTGGATGCCCTGCAGCGACCATCACCGCCTCTGCCGCAATCCAACTATGACCGCATCATTGAAAGGACATATAAGGAAGCGGAGCGGTCGGGAAGTACTTGCAGGGATCAAAGGCTAGCAGAACGAAGAAAAGGGAAAAAAAATCCCCAGCATGGCGAACAAGCGAAGCAATCGTGCCCCCTGCTCAATGTGTCTAGTGATATCGTCGCTAATCTTTCGGGGTTGCTGCCCGGTACCAATCCTAGAGATTACATGACCGACGAGGATGCAATTTTTTTGAAGCAATGGAGGTGGACACATTAAGATTCGAGCACGGGAAGCCTCTCGTCAGACCTGGTACTTCCCTAACAACGATGATGCAAAGATTCCATGAATGATACATGAACATCTGCAGGAAGTCTGGGAACAATACTTTGTCGCTGAGAGTTAAAGAGGAGCACGACCTCGTTGGAATTGATTTGTTGTTAGTTCCATATGAGGAGTTCTTCCAGTTTTTCAATCAAAAGGCCCTTGATAAAACAATCATCACTTGCTACTGTCTGTAAGTACTACTTCTCTGTAATTAATTAAGTCTCTATATATAGCTCAGCTCTTTCATTGCATGTATATATAATTATCCTCACTATATTATGCAGATTGAAGATCGCCGAATTGAAGAAAAGACAAGTAGGTGATATTGGGTTCATTAACATAAATCTCATGAATGAATAGAGTGTTAAACATTCTGGCAGAGAAACCGAGCCCAACTTGCCCGCATCGTTACTTCGAAATCAAAACAAAGCTACAATACTCTTTCCTTACGAATACAAGTGAGTGTTACTGTCTTGTGCATATTCGGTTTCCCTTATTACTTGAGGTTATAGTAATGTAATTGATGAGTTATGCATGCGTGCGTAGCTTCCACTTTATTCTGCTAGAGATTAAGCTTGAGCAGGGACTAGTAACTGTCATAGACTCCAAACGAAAAAATCCGGAGGAGTATGTGACCATGACTAAAATGCTCGAGAAGTAAGTTCAATCGATTGATCATTATAGCACCATATCGGCAACTTTGTTCATTTCCTGATATCAAGTTATTGTTTTCTTTGTCTGGCAGGGTTTGGAAAAAGTTCACCGCAGAAGCTCCGGGACTGCCGGCGCAACTGCGATTTAACCATCCGAAAGTAAGTACTAGCTACTAGCTAGTTCTGCGCATCTCCCATTGATTCTAGCTAGTTTCATCAATACCATTTAGCATGCTTGCTTATCAGTTTGATTGACCTTTATTTCTTGTAAAGTGGTTGTGGCAGGAACCCGGGAATGATTTCTGTGGATACTACATTTGCGAGTTCATCCACCACACCACCTGTGAACGGGGCTACTCTAAACAACAATATGAAGTGCGTAAGCAATAATATTCACTATTTTATTTTATTACCATCATTTGTGTTCAGTTTCATTCATATATATGTATTGACCTCCTTCTTGAAATTAGATGTGGCAGATGCGGGATGAACTCCTACCACACGATCGCATACGAGCAATTCAAGAGGAATTGGCGGGATTCTTTCTTGACCACGTCATCGACAAACACGGAGAATACCATGTGGAAGTTGAGTTCAGATGTTAGGGGATTTTGTAAGAGATCTTATATTCTATATATATAAGTAGCCAGTAGCGTCGAATAGATATACGAGAACTTGTTGTTCGACCAATCTATCGGAGAAGGAGAGGTCGATCACTTCTCTCCGTGTATATGTTCATGACGATCTTTTGTACTTAATGGTTTCCTTCATTTGCTTACTAGCTAGCTCGCGTCTCGAGTCCTCTCTATACGTATAGTACGTACCATCGACCAAGCACGGAGATAAGAGAGGACACTTCTCTTTATTAGCTAGCTAACACAATATATGAAACCCCTAAATTAACCCTACAAAACCCCCCAAACCCCC